TAGGAAAGACCATTTCTTAACCACCAAACTATAGTAGTAAAGACCATTCCTTAACCACCAAACCATAGCAGTAAAGACCATTCCTTAACCACCAAACCATAGCAGTAAAGACCATTCCTTAACCACCAAACCATAGCAGTAAAGACCATTCCCTTAACCACCAAATTATGGCAGAGAAGACCATTCCTTAACCACCAAACCATAGCAGTAAAGACCATTCCTTAACCACCAAACCATAGCAGTAAAGACCATTCCTTAACCACCAAACCATAGCAGTAAAGACCATTCCTTAACCACCAAACCATAGCAGTAAAGACCATTCCTTAACCACCAAACCATAGCAGTAAAGACCATTCCTTAACCACCAAACCATAGCAGTAAAGACCATTCCTTAACCACCAAACCATAGCAGTAAAGACCATTCCTTAACCACCAAACTAAGGCAGTAAAGACCATTCCTTAACCACCTAACCATAGCAGTACAGACTACTCCCAAACCCCTATACCATAGCAGTACAGAATATTCCTCACCTCCTGAAACCATATCAGTAAAGACCATTCCTTAACCACCAAACCATAGCAGTAAAGACCATTCCCTTAACCACCAAACTATGGCAGAAAAGACCATTCCTTAACCACCAAACTATGGCAGAAAAGACCATTCCTTAACCACCAAACTATGGCAGAAAAGACCATTCCTTAACCACCAAACTATGGCAGAAAAGACCATTCCTTAACCACCAAACTATAGCAGTAAAGACCATTCCTTAACCACCAAACTATAGCAGTAAAGACCATTCCTTAACCACCAAACCACAGCAATACAGAATATTCCTCAACCTCTGAAATCATAGCAGTAAAGACCATTGCTTAACCTTCAAACCATGACAGTATAGAATATCCCTCACTATCAAACCAATCTTTTAACATCCAAACCATATCAATGTATATATCATTTCATACACTACCATTCCCAAAACAGTAATTTAAAGGGAATATTACCAGATTCCCTTGTGAATCATTTTCTTCTTCTTGCCTCAAGAAATTGCCTCTCTAACAATTTTGTTGTAACTCTCTTCTCTAAATTGTATTTACAACATATCTATTCTCCTTAGATCAAAATCATATTTCAGGTTTCACAGACATGTATATGATTGCTTATGCCCCTTGCCTTCACAAAATTCCATATTTACACAGTATGTCATTATAATTCACATCACAGAACTGATTCTATACTAAAGCAGAATTCCAATGCCTGCACTTAACCAATGCCATCACATTAAACAGCACCAGAGCTAGGTGCACTAGTCCAGAGATGTGAGATACTCTCAGACAGTGTGATGACCTAATGACAGTCATCACTAGTGGCCCACTGCTGTGTTAGTGTGAGCAGTCAATATTAGATTCTCATCTGTCAGCAATCTTTATGTGGAAACTAAACAAGAAAAGTGTTTTAGATGGCTGGTGTTTTATCTTCTTATAAAGATGTCTGCTTTATAATGGTCTGAAGTTTAATGGAAGTTTTAATGTTCTATGTGAATATATTGGTATAGCCAATGAATATATCTGGATCTTTTAAATATATATATATATATCTAGACATGCCAATTTGATAAAAACCACCACCACTGTTAGACAATGCTGAGACCTCATTAATCCCTTACGTTAAGACATTTTTAGTTTGAATTTCTCCAATATAAGACATTGCTTAGTTTCTTACATTTCCCTTTCAGACAAATTTCAGTTTTTATTACTTCCCTATAATCAGTTCAGTTCTGGCCCTTACTCAAATTTCCATAATATTATTTGCAACATATTTCATCTATAAAGACATTTTCCCCTTCCCTCTAAGACATTGTTACATTGTAACCTTTTCCATCAAAGCAATATTTAATATTGGTCCCTTATCCATACAACCTCCCCTATAAGGACACCTCAAAATAAAACGATGCTCAGATTTTAACTCTAAACTTTAAGACATTGTTCAGCATTTATTTTCACCCTTCCCTAAAAGATTGCTAAGGTTTTGCCTTCCCTGTAAGACATTTGCTCATCCAAACCTTTGCTTTAATATTCTTTTATGTTTTAACACTTTCCTTTAAGACATTGCTGAAATTGTAATCTTTCCCTTTAATTCATTGGTCAGCTCATAACCTTTCCATTTAAGATACTGCTCAGATTCCAATCCTTTGCTTTCAGACACTGCTAAGTTTGTTTCCAATCCCTGTTAGATATTTCGGAGTTCAGTAATATCCTCTCTAAATGGTGACTTCATTTACTGTACATTGCTAAGTTTGTTTCCAATCCCTGTTAGATATTTCGGAGTTCAGTAATATCCTCTTTAAATGGCAGCTTCATTACTGTAGCCTTTGCACGTCAAGTTTACATTTGTTGGGAAGGTCAGAATACACAAACATTTTAAAGTAAAAATATGTGCCAGGTTCTATAAAAATATGTGCCAGCTTTTATCATGAAGCTATTTATTTCCCTTTCATTTGCCTGTTTACATTGTATTCTTTCTGATTGTATGTGGCATGTTTAACCTATACTGAAAAGGCTTAAAAACAATGCATGCGAGGCTTTAAAACACATTCATCAGCCAACCTGGTCATGACTAAAATAGATTTCCATTAGAAGTTACCTCCCCTGATTGTAGAATCAGACAGTACATAAACTATTCACTTCAATACATATTCACCTACTTGGAGAGACAGAATGCAGAAAGACAAAACAATGTAACACCAACTCTAATAGCTTGGAATTCAGACAAACATACAGACAATAACAAAGTCTTACATTTAATCTGAGCAGGAATTAGACTGATTTAAGAGACAGTGTACTGACTGGAAGACAAACATTTTTTCCACAAAGCAGTTAAATCAGAATTCAAATGATCTGGGAGACAGACAATACAGATTGACAAACACAAGTTAATGACCTGCCCTAACTCTCTGGCCATAGATAATAGAGTCAATTATTGATCATTGACAAAATCGGAGCAATGCTGACACACATGTCGAGTTAAATCATAGATAGGAAGTGTCGTGTGTGTAATCTTACAGCCATTGATAGTCTACTGCTGCCAGTCAGGGCTGCCCCGTCACATGCAATCTTACAAACACAAATATCATGCGTACAATGAACAGAAGACTGTATACAGTACAGCACAAGTGTTTAGGGTATACACTGGGATAACCATGGATACAATTATAGGTTTTGATGTTAAATCAAAACGATGCTTGGAAAACTATATTTGATTTCAGCTTCAGTCAAATGGATGTTAGGATTGCTTGTTCTGAAGCCAGATTCAATTCAATAAATGTTGTGAATGTGGCTTCAGGTTCAAAAATGGATACTGGGAAACTGGTTAAGATGTCAGCTTCAATGAAATAGTTACTGGGAAAACTTATTTTAATGTCAGTGTCACTGAAATAGTTACTGGGAAAGCTGATTTTAATGTCAGTGTCATTGAATTAGTTATTGGAAAAGCTGATTTTAATGTCAGTGTCATTGAATTAGTTATTGGAAAAGCTGCATTTGATGGAAGCTTCAAACCAATAAGATATAGTGAGGGACCAAAAAAAAGATTAATTGAGTCATGTCATACCAGATTTTGTAATCAGCAAAGAGCTACCTCACTCTCCTTCTCACATCACCAAGGAACAAACCATTTGTCATCATCAGTAAAGACATATATCTTCATTAGTAGGCCTCAACAAACATTTGTGTTGTGAGTTTTTTTATTAGTAAATTTTAACACAAATCAAAGGTTTTAGCTTGTTCTGTTCACATGTAACATGTTACTGTCAGAATATACATTATGAAAAAAAAAACTGACTACCTTTATAACATTAATGATTAAAACAACTATGCATCTGTTTTAATTAATTAACCACAGACAGCAAACACAGCATAACAGACTATGAACACTCTTTTGACTTCCAAAGAAATTTTCAATTCTCAACACAGTTGACCTCTGTGACAAAGTCATTCATTTGAACAAACTAGGGAACCCTCCTTCACAATATGTTACAAAACAAGAAAAGAAGTCATTAAAAAATACTATCACATTTGATCTCTGACCTAAAAAGTGAGTTAAGTTTAATAACTAATTTGAAACATGAGTATCAGGGAAAATGATGAATGTTCCAAGAAATCAACTTATTGGACACAAAATTTTAATAAAGGACATCAATAAATCTTTAACTAAGGGGTTGCAAGCCCTGAATTTGGTATAATACACATTTTCTGAGCATGACCAATGTATACATGTATCATTATCCTTATTTAAATGCAAGCACAATGCAAGCAATGACAAAAATTTTAACGAAGGTCTATATCTCTGTAACTGAGAGGTAATGGGCCCTGACTTTGTTACACTGCACTTTACTTTTTGATGTCTGATGTATACATCAAATTTCATTATCCTAGCTTAGATGAAAGCAAAGTTATGCTCTGAATACAAAATTTTAAGGAAGGGCAATAACTCTGTAATTGAGGGGTCAAGGGTTTTACACTGCACATCACCTTAGTATGACCAATGTATACACCACGTTTCATTACCCTTGCTTAAATGTAGGCAAAGTTTTGCTACGGACGGAAAGACAAATGCAAGGACAGACAGATGAAGCAAGCATTAAATCTATGTTGCCCTTCTTCTCAGCATGCTTTAAGCTTAATATCAGAACCATGGGCTTTTGGGTTATTGAAAAGAAATAGTTTAAATAGACAAATGGATGGATGGATGGATGGACAGACAGACAAAGCAAGCATTAAATCTGGGTTGCCCTTCTTCCTAGCAAGCTTCAGGCCTGATATCAGAACCATGGGCTTTTGGGTTAGTGAAAAGAAATAGTTTAAATGGGTAAATTACACACAGTGCACAACAACAGACAAAACACATGGCTACAGGTCATCCTGAACCTTCAGATCAGATGGCCTATTAATACATTCAATATTTTCCAGTGAGGATAGGGTATAGATATAGTCTGTATACTGACCTAAATCTTCATTGCTGTGGTCAGTCTGGAAGCCTGTGTTATCATAGATGTATCTGAAACAGACAATCACATATCAATAAAAAGTTGTATGAACAGTACCAGCACATTAAGTCACTAGTGCATGCATGAAGGCCAGTTAAGAACAGTGTGCATTTCAATCAAAACTGAGTGTATTTTAATTATGGCCCATCTATTAACTCTGCTAACTTTATATTGAATCTACATTGGAACAGCTTATATCAGAATACAGATTTGGTAACAGCTGTGATGTTGGTACTTCTTAATTGTCTTTATCACACAGTGTATTCACACACACTCTCCCAACCCCCCATCAAACAGGAACATATAATTGTCTCCCTTAATATTATTGTGCATAGGACCCCATCTTTAATCTGCAAAACCAGACCCCTTCCCTAACAATAACACAAGATTGTCTCCCTTTTCTGTGTAACACTGGAATTCCTTCTCAACATGACAATATGATTTTCTTCCTTTTCTGCGTTACACAGGACCCCTTCTCACACAAACATATGATTTTTTCCCTTTTCTGTGTAACAGTGAAAATTTTCCCCAACATGAAAACATTATTATCTCCCTTTTCTGTATTACACAGGACCCCTTCCTGAACATATGACTATCTAGTTCTACTGTGTCACACTGGACCCCTCCAAGACACTATAACCTCATTTTACACAGATAATGTCACTCCGTGTATAGTTTGCCCTGTGGCATTAGTCAGGCCATTGTGATTAGCTGTGAGTAAATCAAGAAAGATTTGATTAATCTCATAATGCGAGTAATTTTACTGAAATTGACAATTTAAATCTTCTTTTAAATTGATGTTTTCAACAGCAAAAATTAAAAGGCCATGTGTTTTAGCCCTGTTCATGAAATAGAACAGGATTTCCCTTGCCTAACTATAAATGTCTAGGAAGAATTTCTGATGAGAAACTCATCTCCCTGAGGGGGTCAACACCTCAGTTTGAAAATATATTGGATCCTGGGGCTGAGAGAAGCTGATTTCACACCAATTTGTTGGCATCATTTGCATTACAGTACTGCTGGCCTGCCATTTCCCAATCTGTATTTAGGTATTTGTCCATAAATCTCTGTCCTTGTGTAAAGTCTGTCATGCCCAAGACATTGGATCTAAACAAGTTGGAAGCTTTAAGCTAGTCTCAGACCCAATATTCTGTAGTGATACAGACCAGTCTCAGACCCATCAGTCTGGTGATACAGACCAGCCTCAGACCCATCAGTCTGTGGTGATACAGACCAGCCTCAGACCCATCAGTCTGTGGTGATACAGACCAATCTCAGACCCATCAGTCTGTGGTGATACAGACCAGTCTCAGACCCATCAGTCTGGTGATACAGACCAGCCTCAGACCCATCAGTCTGTGGTGATATTGGCCAATACCAGACCCCTTAGCTAAAGGGAAGTGGTATTAATGATAATGAAGCCCATTGTGGTGGTGTGGTTAAAGCTGGGTGTTTAATCTGTTGGTAATGCTCAGTAACAGCACTAATACTTTGGAGACCACATGCGACCACATCTTTGTTGTGATGAATAAGTTATGTGGACATGCCTGATGAAGGTCCTTGTTTATGAGCCAAGCTGTTTAAGGTTGAGTACTGGTCAACTATACTGCATGTATTTTTTTATGTTTTTTTTTTTTTTGTTCTGATCAGCACCCACCAGATGTTTCAGTCAACAGCGAGTCTGTGATGGGAGAGCTGATTATGGAAATATATTAAATCCTCATTTATTATGAGCAGGATGGATTGGAAAGCCATAGGTCAATAAATGACTTTCACGGTGACAAGAGGTCTGTTCTAGGGACCAAGCAGTGATATGTTAACACCTGTATTTATTCCCAGTGGATGGAGGCAATGACCTCAGTACTATAGAGGTCAGTGAAGTACGGATAGACAGATGCAATATATGACACCTTGCTGCAAGTAACCAGAAAATACAAAGAAAAATGACATTTGATTTCCAATACAGTATAAAGAAATTACATTGTTCACTGGGTTTGGATCTAGAGGCAGGAGAGCTAGTTATGTATCACAGGGAACAGACATGTGTCACAGGGAACACATATATGTCACAGGGAACAGACATGTGTCACAGGAAGCAGATGTGTTACACGGAAAAGATGTGCTACAGGGAACAGACATGTGTCACAGGGAACACATATATGTCACAGGGAACAGACATGTGTCACAGGAAGCAGATGTGTTACACGGAAAAGATGTGCTACAGGGAACAGACATGTGTCATAGGGAAAAGATATGTGTCACAGGAAAAGATGTGTCACAGGGAACAGACATGTGTCACAGGAAGCAGATGTGTTACACGGAAAAGATGTGCTACAGGGAACAGACATGTGTCATAGGGAAAAGATATGTGTCACAGGAAAAGATGTGTCACAGTGAACTGATATATGTCACAGTGAACAGATATGTGTTACAGTGAAAAGAAATGTGTCATAGGGAACACACGTCTCACAGAGAATTATAGAAATTTTATACCTTTGTCTCATGGAACCTATGGAAGGGAGATACTAAACACACACTTATCTGACATGGAACCTATGGAAGGGAGATACTAAACACACACTTATCTGACATGGAACCTATGGAAGGGACATACTAAACACACACTTATCTGACATGGAACCTATGGAAGGGACATACTAAACACACACTTATCTGACATGGAACCTATGGAAGGGACATACTAAACACACACTTATCTGACATGGAACCTATGGAAGGGAGATACTAAACACACACTTATCTGACATGGAACCTATGGAAGGGAGATACTAAACACACACTTATCTGACATGGAACCTATGGAAGGGAGATACTAAACACACACTTATCTGACATGGAACCTATGGAAGGGAGATACTAAACACACACTTATCTGACATGGAACCTATGGAAGGGACATACTAAACACACACACTTATCTGACATGACATACTAAACACACACTATGGAAGGGACATACTAAACACACACTTATCTGACATGGAACCTATGGAAGGGACATACTAAACACACACTTATCTGACATGGAACCTATGGAAGGGACATACTAAACACACACTTATCTGACATGGAACCTATGGAAGGGAGATACTAAACACACACTTATCTGACATGGAACCTATGGAAGGGACATACTAAACACACACTTATCTGACATGGAAGCTATAGACTGGACACACTTATAACAAAGCTTTCTCACATGGAAAGGACACATTTGCCTTACAGGTATTGGACATTCACATCTCATGGAAAACCATGGAAGATGAGACATGTCCACAGAGTACTGATATTATAATCAGCTATGACCTGTACAGATATTTTGGTTATGACTATTGGTACACAGACTAAGTAGACACATCAACAATCTGCCAGGGCTCCATTTCAGTTTATTTAGCAGCAATCTAGTTATGATAGAATTAGCAGGCACTTACACAGAAGCTGAAGGGCTGAGTAGATGTTTGTATAACACAAAGAGTGTAAGGATCAGGAATACCAGACATTACACACAAGTGCCCCCAATCTATACCTTTGTCCATAGTGTCAACACCAATACTGGCCATTTCTATATCACTTTCCTATCACAACATCTCCTACTCACATCAATCACACCAGAGGATTTGGCCCAATATTGCCTTTGTTCCTTCTTGTTAGTTTGATAAGGAGACCTAATCACATTAGAATTTGTCTGGATAACCCTATAGTGGCAGGCTGTCATATAAAGGGACCTTGATACCAATACTCAGAGTGACCTTCAGGTGTCAAAACAGTACAATGTCCAGCACTAAAACTGACCATAAGGTGTCAAAACAGAACAGTATTTAGCACGAACACCTTGATACCAATACTAAGAGACCAACACTAACACTTTCGTTCAAACAACACAAACACCTTGGTACCAATATTCAGTGATCCTGACATCAAAACAACACTTACATCTCAGTACAAACAACAATTAAACCTTGGTACCAATATTCAGTGACCTTGACATCAAAATATCACAAACACGTACAGTTAATAAAAGCTTTTAACTTGTTATCAGTCCAGTGACATAATAATGGCAATTGTGGTGACATCAAAAAGTCTGTAAATGTAAACATTAACCTTGGTATCACTTAATAGATACACAATGGGGATCAATTTTGTATGGCCTTGAGCTTTAGAACAGGGCTGAATTGATAATAAAACACAGAAGTACTCCTCTTGTGATCACAGCCTCTCAAGAAAGAATTCTCATACTACAAAACAATCCATGAAAAATGCTCACCCGATTGCACCAATTCTGTGCTTGGAAGACATTAGAACCCCACTCAGGTTGTGATCAAAATCTGACAAACTCTCAAATTAAATTTGCATCTGTATGTCATTTCTCAATGAGTTAAATAAACAGCAGTAAAATAACTAATTTTCATATATGGATTTATTTTCCTGGAGTTTCTGGGTACTCATAATCCATGAGTAGACAAGTCAACATTTTGATTCAACAGATAAAGACTAACCCGGATGGTGGTATTAGGGGACTTCCTAAGCAAATTTCATCCAATAAATCATGTGCAAACAAAACTATTTATTTTTGGAAAATCATCAAATTTGATCCAAAAATAAAATATTTCAGCCATACCTAAATTTTCTACCAATTAAAGCACAAAGGCCTCTGACTATAGAAAGAACTAAATACAGAGAAATATTTAAAAGGTGTCACATCTAGAAACAATTTTCCAGCTTTTGTGAAAGAGTAATCCAATGTTTTTGAAAATTTGGATTCTATTACAAACAATAAGTGAAAATTTTGGTTTTGTGGCAAGTAAAGCCGGCGTCAAAGTGATTCACTTTAACCACTGACTTAATGGAATTTAAAGCCTATTTGAATACTGAAGAAATGTATATACTTAAGTGTTATAACCACAATGGACATTTTAATTCAATTATACCTGTTCATTGTGATACCTATCTGATACAGGTAGACCAGTTTAACTTGGTTTTGATATCCAGA